TGGGTGGGCTTTAAGTTTTCAAATTCTCTCACCACCTCAAAGTCTGTCTTTTCTTATGCCTGCAACATGAGGACCAGGTGGGAGCTCTCAGCTCTTGCCCCTGCAGCAGCTACACTTGATTGTATATCACCATAGTCTCTACCACAGTGATCGCAGAATAAACCTCTGAACTCAAACAAGACACAATCAAATGCTACCTATTATAGGCTGCCATAGTCATAGTGTTTCATCACAGCAACAGATCAGTAACTAAGACAATAACAATTTGCTGTGTTATTCCCCAGGAAAGACTATTTTTCCTTCTCTCAACATTCTTCAGCTGCCTGTTGTTCTTTGTGTGAGGAGTGAGGCCGGGTAAGCTTTATTCGGTACACGTAGTATTTCTATTATTTTCATCCTTGTGCAGCTCTTGTTTAGGAAGACAAGGTAGTAAGACTTCATGGGTATAGCTTGTTATAAAGTTGTGAGCAGATACAATCTTACAGCAAACTCCTGGATCCTCTGGTTCTAACAAATTTTTCTGCCCCCTCTTTTGCAAAATTGTCTGAGACTTGAGTGTGGGAGTTTTTTGTAGATGCATGCATTGAGAATGGGATCCACAACTTTATAACGTTTTTATTGGTTGTCCTTTTCTGTAATGCTCCCTCAAAGAAACGAGGACCATTGAACAAAGTCCCAGGGACAGGCATGAAAAGCCCCATTTTGAGTAGTTGGCCGGTGTTGTTCTAGAGACTATCAAAACATATAGCCTATTGCTATTGTTCCCAGTTTCCCCTCAGAAGTAGAAGGTAAGTCCTTATTGATGAAGACGCCATGCTCTTCAGACACAGAACCCAGAGGAGCCCCCTATCTGGATCTGACCTGAAAGCCTCGGCCCTGATGACTAGCTTTCGTGTTACTAGGAGGCACCATGCAAACTTCTAAAGGGTTTGCAGCCTATAGTCCCATCCAGCGAGGATGCCTATGAACTACAACAATGACAAGCATGACACAGTATCCATAAAAGTACAGTAGTGACATACATACCTCATCAGTAGCCAGGTGTACTTTTATTGGCCTTAAGACCTGTTCAGCCATAGGGAACCATGTCTAGTATGGAAAACTTAACCAACTACCGACGACCAGTGAAGACATGAATCATGGAGGAGAACTTATATCCAAAACTTTACTAAACTAGCATAATACCTAGCTACACTGTAAAGAGTTGTCCTTATACCCAATAAGAACAGTCCTCACTGTTCTCCAAGGAAACTGCTGTCTCTCAAGTTGCCTTTTGTGAGGCAAATGGTCATAATGACTGGAGTGCCTGCATTCTCACATTTAGTGTGACTAAGGCAGGAGACCATCTTGGTCCCTACACAATGGGGTGTTTATTAATCCTGTCATTTGCATCAAGTAGGACCCATAGGTATTACATTAATTGGACTGAGCCAGACACAAAAACGGTAATCCTTGCTTACTTCTTCTGTATGAATATTAAAGATGAAAGTTGGCCTAAAACCAGACAAATAATTGGCAGAGGTTGCTGTGTGGTAGGGGCAACAATGGCAAGTAAAAGAAGGCCAGACTTACAAGTGCATGTAGTAAGCACACTTTGAGTTACTGCTCTAAGTCCTACTAATAAATACAATTACTGTATGCTAATCAAAAATAAGTAACTGAATAAATATTTCCAGTTTCTCTCAAGCTATATTATTTGGTTAAGCTAAGAAGAATTACTGGCTAAGCTGTAATTAAGCTAAGATTTACCTACTTAAGTATCTTGTTGCAATATGCTTTGCAATATTAAACTAATCTCTTCTCATTTCCCATATTTTGCATACTCTGTTTTGCATATGTTTAACCATCTTTTTCTCTGGTCATTACTATGCAGCAGTGACACTGGATGACAGCATTGCACATGTACAGTCGAGAAACAAAAACTTCTGTTGCTACCTCATTTATTTCACAGTTGAGAGAAATCCCGCACCTCCTCTGTTCTTGAACTGATTCTGTATCAGCCATGCTCTCATAAACAACGTCAGCAAGTTAGCACAGCGCAGCATTGTCATGAAGCACAGAACCGCAAATGCGTGGAGAATTACCGCAGACCCTGCAGGTCTTCCTGTCCTAGTTTGCCCTTCGGTCACTGTTATAAAACACTAACTAAAACCAACTTGGTAAGAAAGGGCCTATTTCTCCTTACACTTCCACGCCACCATCCTTCATTCAATAGAGTCAGTGTATGGACTCAAGGCAGGAACCTGGAGGCAGGAACTGAAGCAGAGGCTATGGAGGGGATGTTACCTACTGGCTGGCTCCTCATAGGTTACTCAACTTTATTTCTAGAGCACTGAGGATCACCTGCAAAGGGACAGCACTAACAGTTGTCTGGGTTTTCCCACATCAATATTCAATGCACAAAAATGCCACCAAAGTCTTGCACATGGGCCAATCTGAGGAGTCAGTTCCTAAACTGAGGTTCCTGCCTCCAGCGTGACTCTAGTTTTTGTCAAATGGACAAAAATCCAACCTGGACACTTTTATAAATTTCCAAATTAGTGTTTTCAGTTCATCAGGAGAGGGTCATTTGTTTGAAAACAAAAACAAATCAAAACAAAAAAAATGAACAATAACAAGAAAAAGCCATCAAGTTTGCATGATACTATTGATTCGCTATGTCATGGTTCATTAGTTATTTATGTTTCAGGATTGCATGAAAATGAGAGCACCAATCTCTCCCTAGTTAAAGATTGCAAGAGGGTAATATATAAATTATGTATGAAAAGCCACTCAGTGATATTGAGCTCAATAGTCTGTAATCTCCCAAAGCACAAAGAGTCCTGTGTTTGCTGTATAATATATGTGAACCAATCAAAAAGCCAGAAAACTGGTATTGCTTAATGATGGGATACACCCTGCTATCAACTTCAAGTGCAGAGATAAACGATCACAGTAAGAGTGATTAATGATGATTAGCAAAATCCAAATACAACCAAGATTGATTACAGTACAGAGCTCCATCATTCCTGTTGGAAGAAAAGGTGGGCCTTCCCTACGAAATAATTATTATATGATTTGAGCTGCAAGGATGAAACAATGACCATGAATAATTATTTTTCTCCTCCTTGCCTTTGTTTAACAAACCTGAATGAAGTTCTTTTTTTATGAGTAGATTAAATGAAGGATATCTCAGATTGATAATCTTAGCAGTTGGAACTGCACATTGTCTGGAAAGATCTGCAAGCGGTACATTGTTAAAACCATGAAAGAATTTAGGACAGAATCATCAAAAGAAAGATAGTGGGGGCTGCCTGTAGATGTGACTGGACTTTGATAAATCCTTTACAATTGAATTCCCATGAAAGAGAGAGAACCTCAGTTGATACTGGAAAGTGCACGCTGGAGAATCAGTTAGGGGAACATTCCAGAAGGAAGGTGGAAGGTGATGAGGAAGTCTATTAGCAAGCATTATGTTCCCAGTCATTAAGTCTTTGATACTGGCATGAGTTCCTTTATTTAAGTTGTTTATTTTTTAAATACAATAAAATTACACCAATTCCTACCTTCCTTTTCTCCTCTGCAAACCTTCTATATACTCCCTGGCTCCCTCAAACTCACAGCCTCTTTTATTTAAGTGTGTGTGTGTGTGTGTGTGTGTAAATATATGTGAATATATGCATATGTATTTCAATATAGGCAATATTGATCCTGAGAGTGTCTTCATATTACAATTCATGTTCAATAAATAAAACATATTAATAAGAAACAGTCAACTTTCCCAAATGGAAAAGCAAAACCTGGGGAGGCATTTTTCAGTGGCCGGTAAGCATATGAAGTGGGAATTAATGTAATAATCACCAGAAAAATACAAATCAAAACAATAGTAAGTGACTCTAACAGAGCCATAGAACTTCACAAAGCTCACTTATATACACCCTACAGACAGATGGAAAGTGGTTACTTGTGTTTTAAGTGGTGGTAAGTACTTCCATAACCAAAGGACCATGCCCCATGGCTCATTGTTGGACTACATTCATAAGACAATCTGATTGGTACAATGTAGAAAGTACAAGTGTCTTCAGCCAATTCTTTTCCAAGTATACTGAAAGAGGAAACATCCCCCAGTAGCACATTTAAGACCATATAAACTACGCATTCCTACAATGAACTACTACACGACACCAAGAAACCACCCTCTTAGACATGCTAATCAGAACTTAGATGCTGGCCATTTCTTGTGGTTATTTACAAAACATGCTACTAAGCCATAAATCAAGCATTTATAAAAGGGCTGAACATATTGAAAGTTTACGAACAAGTGATTAAATAACGCCAAAATACTAGGTACAAGGATTTATAGTACCTTCTATGAACTGTATTAAATTGTTTGGACATGGCCTATACTCATTCAGTTACTGACTGGTCTCTGAGTATGTGGCTGTTAGTATAAATTTTACCTTATGTTCAAATGGTTTCAATTTACAATTGAATTCAATTTGTAATTATAATCGAATTCAATATATGTTCAGCCTTTTCTGAACACAATCTTAGAAAACTAAACACGGCAAAGCATCAATTCCCTTTCAATTTCAAGAGTGGTTTTGAGGGTGGGGGAGTAACAATGTCTTGTTCCACCTAGATTTAAAAAAAACAGGATGAACTTGGCGTTCTATAGAGAGAAAAGCATAAGTATGTTATGTATGCACGGATTCACGTGACTCGGCTCAATATGGATTAATATAATTTTGTGGGGGGAAGAAACAGATGAAGACCCCAAGTACCGCTCCAAAGATCCACCCAGGCTGCTCTCTGTGACCCGACCAGAAGGAAGAGACAACTAGCTGAGGCCAGGACCCCAGACCCAGCCCTACCCTCCCTCAAATCTGCACCTGTGACCACACCCAAATGGGCGAGGTCAAGCGCTACAGGTGCGAGGTGGGGATGGGGGCTGGAGTGTATGTCACTACACTATGCATTAATTCATTCATGTCTGCTTCCCGATGCAAGCGCACCCTTACCTCCACAGCTGGCAATGGCATCAGCATATTCCCAAATATTTGCCACAGGCTACGCACCACAGTAGGCACTTCATCCAGCCACACATTTAACAGTAGCAGCAGCCTATGACAGCGTTTCTTCCTTGCCTTTGTTGATGAGAAGAGAAGTATCCAGGAGGCTTAGTGGGCCGGCGTCATTCCTCTACCGTGTCCCTGCAGGACTTTGGTGTGGGGAGCTCATATTCCCTCTCAGATACTTCTCTGCGGCTGTGACAAAAATGCCACAACCAAAGCAAACCACGGAATGAAAGCGTTTGTTTAGGCCCACAGTGGGATAGGAGCTCATCGCCGGCAGCAAATAGCCAGTACAGAGGCAGCAGGTGCCAGGACGCCGAGAGACAGATCCTCAACCCTGTGATGCAGACAGAGTGAACTGGTCGTGAGTTCACTATGAACTCTCAAAGCCTACCCCAGTCACATATGTCCTCCAGAAAAGCTCCATCCCCTGGAACATTCCATAACTGCCCCCAAACAGCTCCACCCACTAGGAGCCAAATGCTCAAGGACATGAGCCTCTGGGAGGCATTTCCTCTCCAGACCACCACATATGCAGACTTCCTGGTCCATCACAAGCAAGAAAGCACCAACTCCTCTCCAGCAGGGAAAGGTCCATTGCAGCCCGTCTGAGCTCTTCAACAGACTTGCACCCAAAGGGTCTAGGTGTGTCGCTTAATGCATTGTACCGTTGAATCAAGTCACTGCCCCTCCCTGGGAATTGTCCTTCTAGTTCTTTAAGACCCCGGAGGCTTCTCTGATTGTGAGTTAGGCTGGTCTCTCCCTGATTCACCTGCCAGGTGGTTTCCTCGGCCTCCTTTTTTCTGCTATTATTTTGTTGCTGTGTCCGGCACCGATGTGTGTGGGACTTTGGCAGGGTGCTTATGAATTGCTGCACCTGGAGGGGGGAAGCAAGTGTCCCCGACAGGTACTAAGGGTCTCACTTTGCTTTCTACAGATGCCGCTATAATACTCCCCCACCAGTTGCATCATTTCATCAGTATTTAGAGTACAGTGCTGCCATGTGAATAGTGTTTACTTCCTGAGGCCTCAAGATGCCAGGATCTGTACATTGCTTGTTTCTTGTAGTTTAGGCTAACGACGTTTGCCTGAGTTACAAGATGGACTTAAGATACTGAAGGTGCAACACTGATGAGCAGGTTAGCTCAGGTGCTTTGCTTGTGTGTGAGTGTACACATCAGATGGATGGCACACACCGGGTATTGCTGCTACTAAGCTTCCTGGACTCTCCGTAAAGGTCCTGGTGCTGAGACAGAATATGGGAAGTCCACATACAAAATAGCCAAAGAGTTGCCTGCCAGTCTCTTTCACTAAGTCAGTAAGCATGGGACACAGTTAGCATAAGGAAGGTGTTATGGTATGTTTACATCCTGAACATTGTGCCGCTGTTCCTATCATCCTAGTGCGAAAATGATGATGTGTCTTCTTATTCCGGCATGAAGGCCCTCAGGATTTTAGTACCAGTTCCACTCTTCAAGTCTCCTTATGCATGCTTGCTATTTCCTTTGCCTCCACAGCTAGCCTACAACATCCTCAAATACAGACCTTAAATGGTTTTGTATTTTCTCCCTATTTTGAAGCTAGTCTAGCTACTAACTCTGTCATGTGTCAAATGAATACATAATAAAATTCTTTAATTAAAATATCAGACAAACTCTATTTTCTCACCATTCTAGGGAATGAAATTATAGCATGTCTCTGGGAGTTCCCCTTTCCATGATTCTTTCAGCAACAACCCAGACAAGCAATGCTGCCAGTGGGACCCTGGCTCCTGCTGTAGCTGTTTGTAGATTTGAGCAGGCATTTGCAAGAGCACTCTTGGCGGTAAAGCAAGCACTTGGTTTAAGGTTTCTTTGTCAGTGGGTGGGTTCAGCATCTAGTTTACTGTTATACATAGTAAAGGTGAGTGGGAGTCTGTGGAGAAGGCAATCATGCAAAGCAGAGCTGGAGTGATCAGAAAGCCACCAGAATCCTCAGTCGAGAAAGCATGGAGGTCACCAGGGGCATGCACCAAAAGACAGGGGAAAGTGGTATCTGGGAGAGGCAGACACTGGGTCTTCGGGTTGAGGTGCAAGCTCAGCATCATATCGGATTGGAGCTCTCCGAGGTGCTGACTGTATCTCCTCAAACACCTCCTAGACCGCAGTCAGGAAAAAAATTAATGCAGGACAAAGCTGAGACTAAATGACTATATGTGGTGGTGTTTGTCTCAGGAGTAGTGGAATCAGAGAGGAGGAACACAGACAGGGCTGAGGGAGAGGGGGGACCAGTCTTCACTTCAGTCAAAGGACATTTACCCCCCAAAGCATTCAAAATTGCAAGAAAGAACATTTCAGCATTAGTGAAGGATAAAGTTTAGAAAGACCCAATGATTTTCTCTTGGGCAATAAACTCTGTGTTTGTTTAGATCACAGGTTACTGTATTGTATTTTGCCTATTGACGTTTTGATACCACATGTCCGAACGCTTGTTTTAAAGGCTTAGACTCTAGCCATGATGGGCAGTGAAACTCTGAAGGGCAGAGGCATGTGGGAGGAAGCAGCCATGGTAATGTGATCCCAAAGGAGGCATTGGGATGCCACTACCAGATTGCTCTTTCTTGTTGCTTCTGCTTCATGAGCTAATGAGGCTCTCTCTGCCATAACAGCCTGATGTTCTCAACAGCCGCTGCAGACCCAGTAGCAACAATGCAGAATGACTGTGCAAACCAGGCCTGAGAAATGACACAAGGGATAAAAGCACTTGACACACATGGATCCCATGTAAGAAGCAGGATGCAATGGTGGACGTCTGTATCGGCAGCACTCCTGAAGAGGGACATAAGACAGATAAGGGAGGTTTTCTGAAAGCTCACAGGTCAGCTATGGTACAGTTCAGCCCAAGGAGACGACCTTGCCTCAACCAGGTAGAATGTCAGAAACTACTCTGAAAAGTTGCCCTCTGATGGATTTTAGACATAGATCTGGGGAGTGCCAGCCTACAATCCCATGGCCAGAGACTCTGGGAAGCAGAACCTTCATTCAATGGCTGATGGAAGAAGAGGCAGATTCCCACAGCTAAGCACTGAGCTCAACTCAAGAAAGCCAGTAACAGAGAGGGAGGACTGATGACCAAAGGGTTTAAGACTGGACTGGTTTAACCTGAAAAAACAGCCGACCTGACAAGGGTTAGCTCTTGAATCCCAGGCTGATGCCTGGGAATCCAGCATGGGACTGATCAAGACCCCTTGAATGTGGGTGTCAGTGAGGAGGACTAGGTACTCTATTGAGCCTTGGGTAGTAGATCAGTATTTCTTCTAGGTATACAAATGGACTTTGGGATCCCATCCAACAATGAGAGATGCACTCTCACCCTGAACTCTTGGGGGAGTGTCCAGGCCCTGTCCTAGATGAAACGACAGATTATGGATACCCCCATGGATGGCCTCAACCTCCCTGGGGAAATGAGGGGATATCGAGGGAGTTGGTGGGAGGGCACAGGAGGAGGGGAGGGAAATGGAGAGGGACCTAGAATGAACATGTGAAGCAACCTTGTTTCTAATTTAAATTTAAATTTAAAAATAAAAAATATCAAAAAAGTTTGTCCTCTGACCACCACATAGCCACCATGACACACACACACACATACACACACGAATTAGAAGATAAACAATGAATGAATAAGTAAGAAAATGATTCATAATCTTGCAAATCTCCAAAATGGGTTCAGTAATGATTTCCCTTTTCTTTTTAAAGTCTCTTGCTTCAGTCCATTGTTTGCCTTTAGTGACCAAGCTCACTGAGTTGGTCCCTGGCATCATTGCTGGGGACTGACTTAAGATGTGGGTGACCTCATTGTGACTCTGCAGCGTCTCCTCCTTGCTGTTGCCTTCCAGCCTGTTGATACATATGTACAGTATTATTGATACATCATAGTCACACAGGCATCATTGGGCAGTCTAATTAGGCAGATGGCGACATGTAAGTTTTATCATAATACCCACAGGGTAGATCTTTCATGATTTTTAAATTTTTGTCTGAATCAGTACTTATGGGAACTTTTCTCCATAACTTGTAATTTATGGTTTACTCCTTTTCAACTCTTAGACCAAAGAACTAAGCTAGACCTCTCTTTTCTCACTGCCCCTGACTTTTGTGTAGAGCAGGGATTTGGGATCTTACACTATAGTCCAAGCTAGCCACAAACTCTCCTGTAACTCAAGCTGGACAGGAATTCCATGGCCTCCTGCCTTAGCCCCCTGAGTGCTAAGATTACAGCCCAGCACTACCACACTAAGCTAAACAGTCTCACTCAACGTGGCAAATACAGAAACATTTAAACAACCTATTATGTAAAAGGATGAAAGCTTCCTGTGTACAGAAGTAACGACATTGATAAATTACTTTAATTCGTAGCTTTTAATTATATAAATAACTGTATTGCAATGTCTGCTTTCCTATTTATTTTCATTATATAATGGTTGACAACAGTAATGTTTCCTATTTATATTACAGGTTTAACTAAGGGACTGACCTGCTCCTTCCAATTTCACCAAATTAAACAAACACGACTGTGACATTCTGTGGGAGTGTCGCCATTGTGGGTGTTAGTGAGCTACACTCCTAAGCACATTGTCTCATTCAATTAATTTCTAAATTGCACCAAATTGTTTGAGGGATAGTTGAAATTTAACAAATGATTGCTGAACACCTTCCCTTGTAGTTGTCATAATGCATTTGAGTCATCAGCAGAAATTTAATATATGCTGCATACATCAATCTTATCCAACTGTATTTTATACATAAATTTATGTCAACTTAATACATCTAAATTGGGATTGGGACCACATTTAAATAATTTTTTGGTTTTTGAATAAATAATAAGTATGTACCCAATAAGCACCAATTGTTAAAGAATCTGGGCAATGGGAAGTTCTGCCAGATGTTTTAATAGCCTCTGATCTACAAACTGTGGCTGGGTCAGGAAGATGCGTTGGAAGAGAATGGGAGTGAAATTGAAATAGGCATGGTCTGGTTATCTCGTACCAGCCAGCTATCAGTACAGAAAACGAGGAATCTTCCTTTACAGTGATTGTTCCTAGTATTTCTCTAGCTAAAGGGCTCTAACTAAGAGATCTGAGCAAAGCAAGACACAGTCTGCCTTCACCATCAGTGCTCCCCCATCTGTCTACGCACAGACATTTGCCGAATGCGGTATTCATATTAGTACTTGCCAAATATGGGCTCTTCACTTCTGTAGTTAACGTTGTTTACTGAAATCCTCATTGACTTTGAAGCTCAGTTTCCTTATCTAGTCCTTCTGGCAATTAGAAACAAACTGACTCCATCCTTTACAATA